TCACGTCCCTACCTACCTACCTACCTACCTACCTACCTACCTACCTACCTACCTACCTACCTACCTGTATGTTTAGCCTCCCATGTAAACCAGCACACTCTCTGGAACAACTTAATTGTAGCATGGTGACTTTTTAAAACTCTTTTCAGTTGTGCATCATGTCAGATCCCATGGAGTACTTTTGGGACTACACAAAAAAGATTCTGCAACAAAATCATTTAAATCAAGGGCTATTGACTTTTTCAGACTGTTACCCAAAAAACCACCTCAAAATATTTTAGCACAAGACCGTGCTAACTGAAATTACTGCCATCTTGTGAGCTCCTGGCATTCTCATTCAAGATTCAGATAGAATTTGGCAATATTTTATTCCTATTATTGCTACTGTTACTACTAGTACTATTAAATGGGTGCTTTGGCAGGAACTGACTTAAGTGGAAAACCCACTAGCATGACAATTCAGTCAAAAGTGAGTCAATCAAAGAAGGGCAAGTAAAATACAGGATGATTTATCAGGCCACTCTGCACTGGAAGACATTATTCATGCATTTCCATGGTAGAGAATGATAATATAATAATTGCATAAACCAGCAGAATGCTGATTCTTGCAGAACTATTTTTCCAAACGTCTCCTTTGAGTCACATCATATGATGAGCGCCAGGATTGTTTTTTACCCAGGCTATTCACAAAGAAAAATCGCAAAGAGGATCTGCAAATGTTACCATGGCTCAATTCTGCCAAGATATGGATACCGATATCTGGCTGCTGGTAAAAGAAAAGCGGAGGCCTGACTGCCGAGATCCCAACAAGCAAGAACAAAAATATAATGAAACCCAAGGCTAATATACCTATTTAGGATGCAGGAGTGCCATCCTAGGCACAGCTGCAATGATATGTAAAATAATTTACTAGTGCAGTCTTCTCCCATTCAAGCAATTCTAAGAAAAGAATTTGTCCTCTAGTAATTCTGGACTTCCATCAGAACAAAATGTTGAAATATATGAGAAGCCCAATCTCACAGCACTGTTTTATTAAAAGCCAAAGGAGAATACAGACAGTGCAAACTTTTGCCCAGAAAGTTATCTCTGATGAGCCCAGGGGCAGCAAAATAAATAAATAAATAAATAACCCAATTCACATTGCTACGTTACGTCAGAAGATGCAAATATTCCCCCAGCATCAATTCATTAAAAAAGCAAACTGCAATCTCAATTATGGAATGTTAATAACACCTTCTTGATGCTGCAAATGTATCTCAAGTCAGAATGTGATGAAGCACATGGAAGAGATAATTGAGGATTTATGAATAATGGCAATTCAGAAATCTAACAGATACTCTTACGGTTCATCCAAACATGTCAGCCATGAAGAATGTTGGAGTTTAAGTGCCTGATCTTCCTTAGGGACAGCAATTCCAGGTCTTAGAGCAGCCATAAGCATTTTGCTGTGGGAACTCTGGACAAGCTGCCAAATTCCACAAACGTTATTTGCAGCTGCAGAACCAAAATGCCTAAGTGTGCAGTATGATTCCACTGCAAAGCTGCAGGATCAAATGCCTTCTTGGGAAGACAGATTCATATCTCCTTCCGAGATACTTGCCTGAAGGTTGGTTGGATTTCAACTTTTCTTCTTTTTCAGCTTCAGAACCTGCAGCCAGTTGGGTGAGGAAGTTTCAGATCTGAAAATCAGAAAACGTTTAAAAAATAAGAATGGGGGGAAAAAAGGGCCACCATGTGAATGTAATGTTGAATTATATTATAAAAATGTAGAATCCATCCAAGAATGAAGAACTTGACTTACAATTCATGGGCAGCAACTAAAAAGATAATTTTAACTTTGGTGGAAAGATTCTAGGCCCATGGTAGCGAAACTACGGCATGTCTGCTGGAAACGGCACGCAGAGCCATTCCGCATGGGATGCGCAGCCTCGCTGGCTCCTGTTCCTGTGCACACAGGTGCGCCGGCCAGCTGGCCTTCATGTGCATGGAAGTGCTGAAATCCAGAAGAGCAGCATCTGTTGCATGCGTACACAATGGCCAGCTGTTTGTTGGGTGCCTGCTCGCACCGGAAATTTGGGTGCTGGCACATGCATGCACGATGGAACGCTGCTTTTTTGGGTTTCAGCACTCCCACGTGTGAAGCTGCATGTTCCTTGCCTCACAGGATGGGTTTGCATGCCATTTCTGGCACTCGGTAATGAAAAAGGTTAGCCATCACTGTTCTAGGCCATCCTGGATAGAGGATGCAACCTAATTAAAAGTTTTCTTAGGCTTTGTGCCTAAGGTGGGACTAGAAGTCACCATCTCCACGTTTCTGGCCTAATGGCTTAACCCCTACACCAAACTGGCTCTCCCATTTGCTTTAGTTATATGTTATCTTAAATTATAATTTTTGGTATATTCCAGTTTATTTCATTTTGCTCTCTCCACTGTTCTTTGTTTTTTATTCTTCTTACTTGGTTATTATATTTTTCTCTTCTGTTATTGATGGAAAATAAAAAAATTAACAGAAAACTAATAAGTGTGGTTCTGTGGTATACAATATGAAAAATGATCTTATGGTTTGGAAGCAAGCTTGAGCATGTGTAGATTTTTCTTTTCACGCAACACAAATGCACAAATGGACCCTTCACTCCACCCTATCTCTCCTCTCTTCAGAAAATAGTTTTCAAATATTGATCTAGTAACTAAGAAGTACCTCTAGAAAGAACATTCAGTACGTCAACTATGCAGACATTCCAGTGCAGGCCGAACAAAAATATGGTAACATTTATATATATTTCTTTTCCACCCTTGTTTACTAAATCATACTGAAGGGACTTATAATAAAGCCCAGTATAATAATACAAACCATAAACAGAAATCAATAAAATAAATCAAAGCAACAACTTAATGAAAAACTTGACTTGTGAACGCTCTCTAAAGCAATCTACTTTCTGAAAGGCAGACAATGAAGAAACCAAACACGGCCTCTGAGGCCTAATGTCCTCTGCACATTTATTTTTTGTGCCTTCAATCAGTGTTGACTCCTGGCAACTGCCTGGACAAATCCTTGAAGTTTTCTTGGCAAGAGTTTTCGGAAGTGGTTTGCCATTGCCTCCCTCCTAGAGCTGAAGAGAATGACTGACCAAGGTCACAGAGCTGGCTCTGTGCCCAAGACAGGCCTAGAACTTACCTTCTCCTGGTTTCTAAACTAGTGCCTTAACCACTACACCAAACTGGCTCTGCACATTAGCAGCCCACCAACCATTTCTCAAGAACAGGAACAAACCAAATCAACCTCAATCCAGCCCCAGCTCTCCATAAAGGCAAACACTGCTTGTTTTGTCTTTCTCTGCATCAAAAGGATGTGGAATGTAGAACAGCTCTCTTCTCACCTGCCTCTCTTGCCCCGTGCATGGGAAGCAGAGCAAGGGAAAGAGGAGGCAGAGAAGAATGGATCCTCTGCTCTCCGTGTTGTGATCACAGTATGGGATTACTCTGTGAGGTTGGAGAACTGTCAGTGAAAGCACAAGCCTCTTCTGCTAATAACCCAGATAAAAGGAAATGTTCCTCCCTATTTCCCTCTGGGCTTTCTTTTTTTGTTGCTGAGGCAGCAAAGGAATTGGCAGTGCTCTTTAAGCTGGCAGCTTTCTGCCAGCACCCATACTGGATAGTGGCAGTTAGTGAGAAATGCTCCTAGGCAGGAAGATACAGTCTATCTTCTCTGTGCTCCCCGACAACCAAAGAATACTGAGAGGACCTCTGTGGCAAAAGAGAAAGTCTGAGAAAGTTCAGGTGGAGAATGTTGTTCTAAAAGTGCATCTAACGTTCCATTCAGTTTCAGCACTTTCATCATAAACTATCACGGAATTTTTTGTCCAAGAACAAGCAATTGCAGAATTTATGCAGATTTAAAAAGAAGAAACCTACATGAAGCTATTGGATATAACTACCCATCTATGCCACACACTCTAATATGGAAGGGCAACCTTTCCCCCCCCCCCTCATGTGAAGGTCATGTTCCCTTAAGAAAAAGCCCTATAATGGGCAGGACCAAAATCTAAATCAGCACACACAAGCATACACGAAATACACTTATTCAATTAAACATTAATAAACTTGAACATGCTCAAATGGGACTATCTGAGCTTCAGACAGCTTTTGAACACCTGAAACTAAGCAATAATAGGTACACAGTGCACTTGTGTACAATTGTTTCAAACAAGGAATACTCTAACTCAGCATTCCAGGGATTTCATTACAGTTCAAGCAGCTCAATCACCTCTTTTCCCACTTGACATTTGGAAAGGTTGAGGCTAGCTGTCCTAGAATACTGAAGGCAAATTTATTTCTGTAGCCTCCAGGATTCCTTTACCTGCAATTCTCCAGCCCCTCCTCCTGTACAACCATACGTACCCTGAGGATTTATCTGGCTTAGGTGGCAGCACCAGAGGCTTCCCACTAGTGCTGCCAATCTTGCATGATTTAGAACGCTGTACAGGAGCCTCCTTTACTTCACCTTGTGGTTCCCCTTCCTCAGTGGAGCGGTTTCTCCCTCGCAATTTAGCCTATGATCAAGAGCAAAAGAGTTACAAGCAGGCCCAAGAAAGCTCCTAAACTTTGTTAACAAGCTTTCCCATACTTCTTCTCCCAGTTCTTCATTATTATCCTCTTACTTTCAATTCACCATAACAGATTTAGGAGATCAGATGCTTCGGTCCCTTTTATACCTTAATCTCCTAATCCCGCAAGCAAAATTGATATCAATTTGGAATGATCTTAAAAATCCAGTTTCCAGAAATCTATCTGACAATGTATTCTAATTTCTTCTGTTTTGTCTCACTTCCCTTTACACCTTACCTTCAAAGCTGAAGGACTGAGGCCTGGGAAGAGGGCTACCTTTACCCCCTTGGACAATGGAGAGCTTCGTGACTTCTTGCTCTTTGACTCCTCATGGACTTCTTCATCAGAGACTGTAGAAACTAACTGGGGCTCTGGGGAAGGGTGAAGAGAGAAATATCCATAAAAATTAATGCACAATGAAGCATACTCCCTAAAACCAAAACAATGCCAGACAACTTGATAAAATTTTGGAGCCTATAATAAAGGTTCAAAGCACATCTGAAACCATGATTACTTAAAAAATGTATCCCTTTGCCTCCAATTCTCCTCTATTTTTAGATTGCTTTTATTTTATTTTATTTTTAGACTCTTCTAGATCATTAGAGAAGAGACATGTCTGCATGGACTCCTTCAAATATCAAATACAAGGATGGCATTAGAAAAGAACAGATTTCAGAACTTCAGTAAATTATTAATAATGAACTATGATTGATAAGTTGTAACAGGACAAAGCGTAGGTAGTGCCTTCCTTTGGAAACAAATAAATCCATAACTAACAGTTAACTACCATATTTTTCGGAGTATAAGACGCATCAAGATTTTGTAGAGGCAAATTTAAAAAAAAAGGTTTTGCAAACTGCAGACCTCCCAAAAATGGGCCTGTTTTGTGTCAAAAAAAAAAAAAAA